TAGACAAAACATTTAAACTTCTTGAGTCTGAAGAAGTCTTTTGGACAAAAGACAAAACGTTTCAACAAAAAAACCCTACTGAGGACCTGATGCGACCTTTATTTATCTACCTGGATTACTGAGCATGTTTCAGGAAGGTGTTATCTCATGTGATATTGTGTAATCAGTTAGCATTCAGAATATACAGTATAGCAGGTGATGCTCATCTACTCTCACACAAGGTTTTAACTCAGTATCTGTAGAAGTGGGTGAGTTAAAGCCAGTTTTGTGATATTGGTTAGTTACAACAGCCATCTTAAACTAGGGTAACTCTAAAAGTTAATCAGTTGTAGATGTATGTCCAAAAGTTACGTTTGGAGAGTTTCATGACAATCTGGTCAATGTTTCATGAGATATTTTGCTTAGAGACAAAGTTGACTTCAACAGTTACAGTATACCAAAATTTTACGCAAAAATATCACGCAATGTGTATAGCTTAATGTATTTTGCAGTGTTTCTCCTATCATTATAAAACGAGGGCGCCCTGCCTATCGAACTGACCTCCCCCTCATAGACAACTGTTGGCACTGATGTAGCGCTAAACTAGCGGCACACAATACAGACGCGCTAGCTAAAAAGCTACAGAGGTTGTGCTCTGACACACTTTTGCTTAGCCGTTGCCTCCTCCCCATCGACAACTGTCAGAACAAACAGCACGCAACACAGACGTGGCTCATTTACACCTCCACCCCATGACAAAAATCATGGAAGAGATGAGCGCCCTGCCAAGGCCAAGGCAAGTAACCTAAAGGAAACACTGTATTGTATAGTGTGAGGGTGATATTTAGCTACTATCCATCCATCCATTATCTTTTACCCACTTCTTCCATTTTGGGTCACAAGGTTTCTCCGGTGCCCATGTCCAGCAATCACTGTGCAAGGGGCGGTGTACACCCTGGACGGGTCGCAAGTCCATCCATTATCTTTACCCGTTTATTCCATTTTGGGTCACGGGGGTCACTGGTGCCCATGTCCAGCAATCACTGTGCAAGGGGCGGTGTACACCCTGGACAGGTCGCAAGTCCATCACAGGGAATATTTAGCTACTACCACAGCTAAATTTATTTCAATATCTTTGAAACTGGCTCAGGTAAAGTCATTGTTGTGTTTCCTTGGGTCAGCTGGTTGTGGTGGCCATCTTGAATCAGGTTGACTCCAATTGCTTTCCGATAGTTTCAAAAGAATTCATCAATCGGTTCATGAAAAATTTTGAAGATAGACAAATGAACACAATTACATGATCTCATGCCTTTCATGTCAGCAGCAATGACTATTGTAAAGAAAAAGCAACATAAATATTGGATTTAAGTATACAGTAGTCCCTCGTTTATCGCAGGGGGGTCCGTACCCTGAAGCCCCAGGATAAGTGAAAAACCGCAAAGTAGTAAGTAGTAGTTAATTTTATATATTTATATATATATAGTATAATATATACATTTATACTATATATATATATATATATATATATATATATATATATAT